ACCTCGATTAGTCATACATCGAAAGTGGGTTAGATTAAAATTGACTTGTTTGATGAGTCAACTACTATAAATTTTAACTTAAGTATTTTGACCGGTGGTTTAGGTTAAACAAAGTTGATAGAGCAATTAGCCCGTTAGACTCAGGTTATGACATTTAGTATCAGAGCTGACATAGTATTTGGATATGATGAAGGGGCTCGAGTAGGAAATGATTATTTGTGGATGGAGTTAGAGGACTTGTCACGACGTGGAGTCATCATTAGACTACGCCTCACATAGACCATATTAGGGTTTGATCTGGGCTATGTTGAATCTTGACGAGGACATCAATCTCTTGAGTGGGGGAGATTATAACATCTCGATTAGTCTCACATTGAAAGTGAGCTAGATTAAAATTGACTTGTTTGATGAGTGTACTACTATAAACTTTAGTTGAAGCATTTTGGCTAGTGAGGTGAAACAAAGTTGATAGGACAATTAGCCCATCAAGCTCGAGTTGTGACTGATAGCCTAGCAACCCTATATTACTATAATGTCCACGATGGTAGAATTTAGCAAAGGTGGTGGTGTATGGACCAACGATGTTAAGATGTTGGCCATCAGATTAGTGGTTGTTGACCAAAGAGGATATCACGATATGGAGGTTGTGCACTAACGATGGTTAGTGGGTTATGTCATTCTACTATGATGGTCATGCACGATGGTCGATGGGCGATGACACTACTATATCATCAGGCAACGTTGGTCAACGATGGAGATTGACCGTAGATGAAGAGCATGCGACCATAATAGCAACAAGGATTTTGATAAATTTTAACCATGCTAAAATCTAATTTTATCGATTTGGCCTCGATCAACTTTAATTTTGACCCAAATAAATCTTAGTGTGATTTTAACCCTAAATTTGGATATTACATTGATTGCAATTTTGAGCCCTAATTTGACCTTATTCAACCTTAATTTTAACTAATTTGATTGATTGCGTTGGTTGTTGTGCCCAACTTAGGTTGTCCAATTTTGGATTACTCATTTGGCTATAGCTCAATTTACGCTATCCAATTAAGTAGGATTGATTAATTTTTTTTGAACTTTTATAGAATTTAAATTATATAAATTATATTTTTTTCTTATATGATATATTGGTGAAAATAATTTTCTCATGATAATTAAATTTTAATTATTGTTCTTGGATTTTAATGTAGTTTTTTATGTGTATATATTTAAAATTATAAAATAATAATTTTTTACATAAAAGTATTATTTATGTTTTATCATGGTTACAGTTATCCTACAAATTTTTTAATATTGATTAGTGTTTAATAATTATTATAGTTATTATTTTATTATTATTAAATTATTTATACATCAAATAACTTAACAAAAATTTAGTAAATATTATCTATGACTTATATTCCTAAATTTTATCTGACTACTAATTATCAAGTTAGCTTAGGATGGTAGACTTATGGGATGTGAATTATAATAAATATTTTATTATTTATAATATATCTTAAACTATATTTTATATTATTGTATTAGTATTGTACCCACCAAAGTGGCATGAACTAATAACTTATAAAATTATATTAAATAATTAGTTTTAAATAATATTAATATAATAATATTTATAATGGTATACATAATTATAAGATTTAGATAAAACTAAAAGAGAATTTATTTCCACTAATTACGTGATAAGGTAGGATGATACTATTTAGGATATCCTTGTAATTTAGTTTTATACATCCAAATAAAAAATACTATTCCATAAGGATGATATTAGTCCATAAATAATCTTAAGTGAACACTAGATATATTAATATTTTATTCAAATATGAAATGTGGATAATATTTTATAATGATACTTCATTGTGAAATATGTTTAATGTTAATTTTTATTTTACAATGATACTTCATTTGATGTATTCTCATGCTTTTAATATCCCTATACTCTTTTGTTCAAATTATTCAGAATAATTAGAACATATGCAGTTCACACTTAGTGTATTAGATCTTAACTAAACATTGTTTATTAAAAGATTCTCAAACTTTGTAATGAAAGCACTATAAAATATTTTTTTAATAAAATAAATATTTGAGAAAAGTTTAATATACTCACTGTAATGTTTATAAGAATGACAATTATAAATAACATCAAGACTTTATTATCAACTATAACTAGTGCACATGAATATTTGAGGACCATTAAAGACAAGTATAAATCTACTGATAAATCATTAGTTGATACATTAATAAAAGAACTGATCTTAATTTAATGACATTTAATATATTCAAGATCGCATCTTCAATATAATTGACAAGACTGTGAAACTTAAAATATTAAATATGAATATGAATGAGTCTTTTCTTGTGTAATTTATTTTTTATTCTTTTTCTCTTTAATTTATCCCATATAAGATTCATTATAATACAAATGATGATAAATGAGACTTAAATAAGTTGATTAGTATGTTTGTTTAAGAAGAATTAAGATCAAGGTAAAAGAAATATATAATATTTTGATTATTATTTAAGGAGCTAATAACAAGAAAAGAATGTTGAAACATCATCCACCAAATAAATTTGTTAGGGCTAGAAGGTAAAAAAAATTATAATATTTTAGCTACTACTTAAGGAGCTAGTAATAAAAAAAGGTTAAAATATCATCCACCAAATAAATTTATCGAGCTTGAAAATGCTAAGTAGATTAATGGAAAGAAGGTCTTTATGGTAAAGTGTTTTTGTGGCAAGAAAAGACCGAGGACTCTATTAAACATCACACTTGGTTAAAAAAAAATATAAACTTGGTCTTTATATACTTCAAATTAAATATTACAAAAGTTTTCTTTAATATTTGATATATTGATTCTAGTGTTTCGACATATGTTACCAATAATATACAAAGATTTTTTAACCTAAAAATTAAAATAATATAAAAGATTCATCATTATGAGGAATTGTCTCAAAATGAAAGTGATAACCTGTGTTACGGGTGGAATTCTGATATGGGTGATGAATTCTATAATAAATATAATGAGTCGGGTTAGAATTTTGACCATTTTATTATATTCTTAGAAAGATAATATATTTATGCTGATTATATTTTATCAGGTATGTCACAACAAAATGATATTACTAAAAGGTAAAATTATATTTTTATAGATATAACTAAAAGAATAATGAGTTATTATTCAATACTTGAGTGAACATGGGTTAAGCTTTTATGATAGCTATGTATATCTTGAGTTAATTTTATGAACTCCATTTATGTTATAAACTTATATAAAACATAATTTGATATATATATATATATATATTTATATTTATATTTATATAGGATTGTTCTACAAAGATAAGAGTTCAATTCATATGAAAAAAGAATTCGATCAAGAACTATTTTAGGATATTTTATTACTTATTAAAAAATCAAGGAATATATATTTTATTATTCTAATAGAGTAGGGTAATATAAGATTCTTAAAAAATAAAAAATAATGAGAGTAAAAAATCTTAAAAGATTAATTTTGATACAGAGGAGAGATAGGTTTAGGCTTCTTTATTATTTTCTATTCAAGAGAAATCATATTATTATATAGGAATAAAAAATAATCTCTCATCATTTTCATAAACTATAGAAAATAGTGATTCTAAAAGGTGATATAATATAATAAAAGAAAAGTTAAAGTTGACAAATCAAAATGATGCTTAGGAACTCAATTTAATTATCTAATAACTATAAATGAGTTTATTTTAAATAAATATTTAATATAAAATATGACTTAATGGATAATATTGAATGATATACGGTTAAACTTGTGGCTAAAGATTTTTCTCAAAATGATTGCATCGATTATAATATGATTTTTTTTTTCTAAAAAGAACTCATTAAGAATCATCATGATATTAGTAGTTTATTATAATCCTAAGTTATATATGATAAATATAAAAATAGTATTTTTAAAAAAGATCTAGATAAAGAAAAAGGATTTCTAAAAAAAAGTTAAGCTTGCAAATTTATATTTTTATATTAAATTAAATTCTATATATTACAATTTTATGCTTACAAATCAAAGCAAGTGAATTAATTGTGGTCCATGTATTACTCATTGGATGCTTCTTTGCCCATCTAATCTCATACTATCTTGCGGATGTTATACATTCGGCATCTTGAATGTTTGACAATGTCCAGAAACGATCGTTTGATGTATTATCAAACGTGGGTGAAATTGGTTTTTTTCCATCCATCGATTACAAGAATGTTACTCCAACTTAACAACTAATAAAGTACATTAATTTAATCTAAAAACGTAACTATATGTGATAATTTAATTATTAATTTCATCATATTTTCATTCCCATCTTAATTTTTTTTCAACAGACTTGAGCTCTTAGAATCGGAAGATTATTAAATTAAAGTTTATATCATTATATATATCCCAAATTTAATTAAAGTTCATATATAAACAAATAAGTTAATTTTGAATATTAAAAAGAAAATCCTACAAGCTGCAATCCTTATCCGATTTGACCGGGATTCCCAATACACCCCTCAACTGTTACATGAGGGCCGTTCATTCTAGCAACGGAACTGGACCTTGCGTGTCGCACAGCCACCGGACGCAGTCAACAGCAACGGAAGTTGACTGAGCAGCCATTGGTCAATCGACAGTTAACAATTAACATAACGGAAAGTAATTGCTCAATCGAGGAACAAATTAAGACGACGAAACGTGCTTAATGGACTTAATATCATCTAAGAGCATGCATAATCTAGGCTTTCGATGAATGAACCTTAGTTTCCAACTTAACTGTGACAGTGACAATAGGACATGTGAGTCAACAGTCCATGGCTTGCCGTGTACGACATCACCGTGACGAGTCGTCGCTCCCTGATTTCCACGGCTGCCGAAGAAAAATCGAAGTATGTGGACGTCGTAGGAGAATGGATGTCTTTGATACGTGGACGGCGGCACGCATGCACGTATATATGTCGACCACAAGTGAGTAGCAGTGAAGGGCATCCACCAGAAGCTCGTGCTGTAAACAACTAGTACAGGGCGAATGGCGGAGGAGGTGAAGTTGCTGGGGAGAAGGTTGAGCCCCTTCTCCACCAGGGTGAGGATCGCCTTGAACCTCAAGGAAGTAGCGTACGAGTTCGTGACGGTGGAGATTTTTGGGCAGAAGAGCGAGATCCTGCTCGAGTCCAACCCTGTGTACAAGAAGATCCCTGTCCTCATCCACCATGGCAAGCCCATCTGCGAGTCCATGATCATCCTTCAGTACATCGACGACTTTTGGGCCCGCAACCCGTCCATCCTCCCTTCCCACCCCTACGACCGCGCCATTGCTCGCTTCTGGGTCACCTACCTCGATAACAACGTCTCTCTCTCTCTCTCTCTCTCTCTCTCTCTCTCTCTCTCTGTTGCTAATAACCGGTTTCAATTGAGATGAGCGATTCAGCATGCTAACTTCCGTGGGTTTCTGCAGCTACTTATTACGATCTGGGGCATGTTAATGGCTGCGGGCAAGGAGGCGGCCAAGGAAGCAGCAGGGCGAGCAGCAGAAATTCTTCAGACGCTGGAAGAGGCCTTCAAACAGTGCAGCCAAGGGAAGGACTTCTTCGGAGGGGACGCCATTGGCTACTTGGACATCGCACTGGGGAGCTTCTTGGGACCGCTGAAGGCGGGGGAGAAGCTGAGCAATGTGGAGATTTTGGACGAGAAGAAGGTTCCTCTGTTGGTGGGATGGGCGGAGCGTTTCAGCAAGCAAGACGCTGTGAAGGAAGTTTTGGCAGACGCCGAGGAGTACATCGAAATGATCCGATCGATGAATGACGGCGTCCCTACTGTCTGAATTACCTCTCTCTCTCTCTCTCTATATATATATATATATATGTGCGTGTGTGTGATGGAATAAGATGCGTGTTGGATTTTTGAACTTTAGAAGAGGGTGAAAAAACTCTTTAAAAAAAGTTGACAATTGTTATATTTTAGATGTCGTGCAATAGATCGACCATTCTCTAATATGTTATATTTTGGGCACAATTGAGTGGTTGAATTGCCATTCATTAGATAAAACTCATCTACTACATGAACGACTAATCATACTGAGACCGCGCAATAATTAAATCGGCTGACAAAGGCTTTGTTGTCTTCTTCTTGTGAACAGTCCAAATCCATATCAAGGAGATTAATCGTGAGCTATGTGATATCATTTTAACCAAACACCAGCCAAGACTAAAGACTATGAACAGCACCATTTGGAAGATTTTTTTGCGGCTTGGACAGTCCAAGATGGGATCATTTATTAAGATCATGATTTGAACGCTAATTTGGAGCCATAGTTTCAGTTCGTAATGGCTGTCACAAACAGAGCAATGCAAATTTCGAAAGGTTCAGTTTCAAAGACTTGCGAAATTTTACAACTCGCTATCAATCATAAAGTATTGGATGAAAATTTGAATTTAGTGGCAATGCAATTTTAGATCAACCCACAAAAGGTAATAACCATTGAGACAATTTTTTTTGACAAAAATAGAAATACATAAGTGATATAGTATATATATATATATATATATATATATATATATATATATATATATATATATATGGTTGTAGTTAATATTTATTTATTAATTTGCTATCAGTATAGCAAAGATATCAATATCCATTAGATAGGGTAGTCCTCTATAGATTTGGACTCCGTTGAATAAACTTCACATATGGAATGTAACGTCGACTTCATGAGCAAATCCTGAAGAGAGATTAAGGAATGGTCAAGCTCGGCCAGGTTAGGACGGCAGCATGTTCTAAGTCTCGCTTACTTGGATCTCGATCATTTCATTAGACCTCGCAGCGTTTGAGATTATCTTACCAAGTCTGGCAGCAGTGCTTCTGAACACCACACTGCTGAGGGACGTTTAATCTTCCTGCCCAACCCCCTCGCCCTCGTGAGTCGACGATGGGCGTTTGACTCGCTTCCAGCGTCTGAAGCTTACCAGATATGCTGCCGTATGTCCTCACAACAAGACACAAAATGTACGTAATATCTTCTGAACTGACCCCACCACAAAATGATGATGTTTCGTGCCGACTGCCTACATTAAAAGTGGTCAAATAACGCGGAATACTTTCTTCTTACTCCGTGATGAATTAATGTTTGATATTTTTTTAAATTATATTTGATCTAGATGCTACTTTACAAATGCTCTTGATACTATGCTATTTTTTTTATTTCTCAAATTATCCCATAATATCCTCTAAAATAATAAGATTATCATGAGATGAAATTTTATTTATTTATAAAAATTATTTTTATATTTATTCATATAATTATATTTTATATTTATTATATATCTAGGTCATACGAAATTTTTTAATAAGATTTTATATATATATATATATATATATATATATATATATATATATATTTGTGTGTGTGTGTAAGTATTCACTTTTGAATATATATATTAAAATATTAGAAGTGTAAATTTGTTATATAGTATTCAATGAAATTTTAAAATACAATCTTACCAAGCAACACTTACATCAATATACATTTAAAAATATAATTTTTATTTATTAATTATCAAACATTCAAGATATTACACAAGTACACATTTACTCAATTTTTTTCTCTAAATAAATATATTAAAAATATAAATATATTCCTGAACACACCTTATGATTAACAAGTCTCTTCATAAAATTATTGTTATTTAAAAATTATGATTAGTTTGATCATTCACCTGGTTATATGTTAAGTTCATCTAAAGATGACTTTGAAGATATACACATCTTAATATAATTTTTATATAAAAATAAATTTTATCCTCGCAAGTTTCAGATCTAATTATTGGTTCTATTTATCTCATCAATTATTCGTTCGACTATTTATCACTTCTTAATCATACATAAGTGAGATGAGACGATCTTACCTTCTTTTTTTTTTTGGAATGGTTCATATCATATCTTTATTCAAATTTATATTTTATAACTTTTTTTTAGACTTCACCTTATATATCTTTGCAGCTTATCCATGAAAAGTATAATGCAAAAAAAATGAGCAATCAAACAATAAAGTGTAGAGAAGATAAAAAAATGTTAAATATTTTTTAAAGAAAAAGTACAGTGACAGATAATTTAAATTTTTTTTAAAAAAAAATAATATTTGAAAAACACAAAAAGGAGAGTGTCTTTTCAGAAAGAAAAAAAAATCTGGTCAAGAGAAATCATCCAAAATATTTTATTGGCAATGAAGCCTCAAGCCTTCACAAGTACGCAGAGAGCCAATGACAACAGGACGATAGCCATGGCGACATCTCTGCAAGTACATTTATTGTCACTTGTTCAGATTGCCCATCTTTACAAAGCATCTTCATGCTGCAATCTATCAACAGAAGAAGATCTCTCATTCTTATCTATCCCATTATCATCGATCGGGATTCATGGACTTCCTCTCAAGTTTCCCTTCTCCCGTCTTCCCAGCTCTCGCTGCTGCCACTGTTATGCTGGCACTCTTCCTCCTGAGACCATTGCTGCAGCGCTACTCGTCAAGTGTTCACCCAAGGAAGCCAAATTACCCACCCATCGCAGGAACAGTATTCCACCAATTGCTAAACCTCAGTCAATTGGCAGATTTTCAAACCGACCTCTCCCGCAAGTACAGGACCTTCAGGATCCTCACCCCCTTCTGCAACTATGTTTTCACTGTCGACCCTGCCAACGTCGAGCACATCCTTAAAATCAACTTTGCAAACTATGGAAAGGTACTTCAATCATCTCCCAACTAAAAGGCTTTTTCTGAGATGTGTGACGTATAGGGAATAGAGAATTGCTCGACGAGCGTTACCTTCTTCGCAGGGGGGCTTTATATACGATGTCGTGTGCGACTTCTTTGGCGATGGGATCTTTGCGGTGGATGGTGAGAAGTGGCGCCATCAGAGAAAACTAGCGAGCTTCGAATTTTCCACAAAGGTGCTGAGAGACGGCAGCAGTGTCGTGTTCAGAAGCACTGCTGCCAGACTTGCCAAGATAATCTCAAACGCTGCGAGCTCTAATGAAATGATCGAGATCCAAGTAAGCGAGACTTAGAACATGCTGCCGTCCTAACCTGGCCGAGCTTGACCATTCCTTAATCTCTCTTCAGGATTTGCTCATGAAGTCGACGTTAGATTCCATATGTGAAGTTGGGTTTGGTGTGGAGTTGGATACGTTGACCGGATCGACTGAAGAGGGGAGAACTTTTGCCAAGGCGTTCGACGATGCAAGCGCTCAAATAGTGCTCCGGTTTTTGGATGTCTTTTGGAAGGTCAAGAGGTTCCTCAACATTGGCTTAGAAGCCAAGATGAAGAAGAGCCTCGAATCGATCGATGATTTTGTGTACAAATTGATCGATACAAAGATTGAGCAATTGTCTCGACGTCAAACCGGATTCGTAAGTCACACCTGGCATTGACATCTTGAAACTTGAGGTTATACATACTGACCATATCTTCTTCATGGCAGATGGAAAAAGAAGACATATTGTCAAGATTTCTAATAGAACGAGAGAAAAATCCTGATGACATGAGCTACAAGTACTTGAGAGACATCATACTCAACTTTGTGATTGCAGGAAGGCACACCACGACAGGGACTCTTTCATGGTTCTTCTATATGCTATGCAAGCATCCCAATGTACAAGAAAAAGTAGCACAAGAGGTGAGAGAAGCAACCAAGATAAAGGGCGAAGTGACCGTCGACGAATTCGTCGCAAGCCTAACCGAGGAAGCCCTCAACGAGATGCAGTACCTTCACGCATCTCTGACCGAGACTCTCAGGCTGTACCCTGCAGTTCCACTGGTGAACTATCTGAAGCTAATTTGCTGGTCGATCCTTGTTGGCACTCGGTGCTTGCTTACTGACTCACATGTGTCAACACAGGATGTCAAGCAATGCTTCTCGGAGGACACATTACCAGATGGATTCGAAGTCAAGAAAGGAGACTTGGTGATTTACCAACCTTATCCTATGGGAAGAATGCAGTTCTTGTGGGGTGAGGATGCAGAGGATTTCCGGCCAGAGAGATGGCTCAACGGTGACGGTGTATTTGTGCCAGGAAGCCCCTTCAAGTTCCCTGCTTTCCAGGTGAGGCAACCAAAAACCTGCAATTAGCTGGATAAGTCGATCTGAAGGTGATTGATTCTTTGGATGCTCGTGGTATTGCAGGCTGGCCCTCGCATCTGTCTTGGAAAGGAGTTCGCGTACAGGCAGATGAAGATCTTTGCTGCTGCACTACTGTGCTTCTTTAAATTCAAGATGTGGGAAGAGATGAGCACAGTGAGATCAAGGACCATGCTCACTCTTCAAATTTATGGAGGACTCCATCTCGCTGCTCTTCACAGACAAGGTTGCTTGAACGCAGATTAGTGTGCTTAAATCATGCTTTATGTTGTTATTTAATGTAGTCTCTACCGAAGGAGCATGAACCTCTCATGCATCTATAAATATTTAGGAAATGAACTTCTTGACTTGATGACTTCAACCCTTTCTATAGTCTTTGAAGTATTTATATTATAATAATAAAAATTTTAAGTATTTAAATTTTATATATTTTTTAATCAGGATCAGTGTAGTCAAGCATAATTTTTTGGACGGAAACTATTTAAAATATTTGGAGTGATATGCAGATTATACTGAGAGAAAAAAAAAAAGGAAAGACAGGCACCAAAACCCAAAATTTTAAAATTTCCCAAATAAAAATAATAACTAAAATAATTTTGAGTGATTTTCCTATAAATTTTTTTTGTTTAAAGCGTTCTTATCTTATTTCTTCTTAAACAGTATTCTTAATTCAAAAATATCAAAAATATTCCTTACTAATTCTTTCTGCTAATTTTTTTATTAGTTTTAAACAATTATAGAATTTTTATTTGATTCATTTATAGTATTTTTCAATAGTATCTATGGTATTTCTATTGAGGTACTGAAAATATTATAGAGTTTCAAAAAT